TTGTAACCCAGATGAAATAATTTCTTTAAAAAAGGCTTGCAAGATATAACATAGCAAGCTTTGACTATGGGGCTCGTGGGAGTGACAAATGGACTCTCAGGAGATGGCACCGTCTGCCACCACCTGATTAATGTCAAATAAGCAGTTTCTGAGAGTTTAGGATCATGACTAACAAATTATCATAATGAACATAAATAGAAAAGGCGGATATGTTTTTAATAAGACTAAGTTTGCAAAAAAACGAACTTATTTTGCAGCTATTTTACATACTGCCATATGTTTTGAGGGCCATTTTGGCTTTTTTTTTTTTTGCTGTATTTAACGGGCTTAAATGTATTCACTAGTACTGTTGTGCTCTCCTGATAGGATACACGTTCAAAAACGTTGTCAATAAAGTTTACCCGGCGACTTCTGGTAGTTTTTTCTATATTTCCTCATAAATTGACGGCCATATTGAAAATGCTCAATGTCTCGGAAATAGCAACCAAGCTAATTTGCTTCTCTTGACCTAAAGAATGCAGTTCAGCAAAAAAAAGTTTACAGGAAAAAACATTGCAGGGTCAGCGTTCTGGCTACTCGACTATTAGTCCTACGGATATTGAATCCTAGTAACGTATGTCCTAGGTCTTCCATTCCTGTCAATGCATGCCCTAGAACTTGCATTCCCAGGACTTGGCGTTACTTGGACGTGCACTCCTGCCACACCGGTACTGATACGTACTTATTTTAAGCTTTTGACGGTTTCCATAGGCTCAAGCTTACCAGTAAGACCAGGGTCTACAAATACAGTTATGTGCAACCTTCGTACGGCTCTCACTAGAAAAAACTTTCAGGGCTTGGCATTTAACACTGTGAACTTCCCCCGTCAACACGAGGAAAGAAACTGTGTCACTCTTTCAATAACACCAAAGCCTTGCTGTGTTGTATTCTTGTATCAGTAGAAACTACATGTACAAGGAAAAGCTGTTTAACATACCTTGTACTCTTATTAAGAGTCTTAATATAATAGGAGTAGATTGAAATGGTAAACTCGTCAAATCAAACCAAACCATATTAGCAAAAATACATCAGCATATCTAACATGGTTTAAAGGTACACAAAGGAAGATTTTGCCGTCAAATCCAAATTTAATATTTAAGGAGTTATGCCGGGGTAAACGACAAGTTGGCCTTTATACTTTAAACTTTCCATAAACTGAAAGAAACCATGCTGCATCTTCCACGCACTAACGTTCATAAATCAATACTCTCACCACTCAGGTCTTTTTCAACACTCTAAAAAGTTGATGTTGTGGAAAAATGTTTACTGTTAGTCTAGAATGTTTAGTAATGCTTAATTATCTCTGAATGGCTTTATCAGTTCATCCAGGCGTAAAAAAGTATGATAGGCGGTTATATTTACCATTGTTGTAATGTAAATTGGATATAATTATCTATTCGAACACAAAAAATAGCCAAGGTTCATGATGTAGAACATACAGGATAAATGTGCCGTGGAAAAAGACGACTTTGAACTGTGCAAAATCATCATAACTTATAATAGTGCTTGGTACTTTCTTTCTACTTAAGCATACTGAAAGTCAATGTAAACGCATCATTTATTTATCAAATAATATTTTTGTGCCGCAGATTGATAATCACAGAAATTCTACTGGCTAATTCTGTGAGACCTTTGAAGCTTCTTAGATCAAAATCAAAGTTTACTCGCGGCAGATCCATACTTCTGTGAAATAAGTTTTTTTTCTGCTTCTCTTTGAAACATAAATGAAGTGTTATGTTATGAAGCACGTTGCTGTATTTTTACTGCGTTTCAATACATTTTGTGTTACATGGTTGCAGCACAACTTACTTCTACTGTACTTAGTATTTATTCATACTTCAAGGGCGGAAAAGATTTCAAGTATTGTGGAAGCATGGTTTCAGTGTGTCAGCTACATTGAAGTACGTATCATTATCTACTTACAAACAAAATACACTGCAACCATGTAAAAACGCAGTGGATACGTACTTCTTGTAGACACGATACTCAGTGGAGATACCCTGTGTCTGCAAGAAAAAATATCCATTTGGCCACTAAAATAGGACGTATTTCCTTTTAAGGAACAGACGCAGTACTTTCTTTACGGACAGTCACCAACAGTCATCACTTACCTTGTCCACTAATAAAGCACACAAATCTTTTTCTATTGTGTTCAGGTCAGTGTAGGATTTCTTCCGTGTCTGTAAGAAGACATAGAGAGCTACATAGAGAACTTTGGCATAGTCTTATGCGACAATAATGGCGACACCAAGCTTATTTATTATGCACAAGCACATGCGCATTCTGCACATTCTCAGTTCCCACTAGAGGGGTAGTTTCCATTGAGGCACATGTTGCTACCTTACACTGATGTCCACAAGTTCAGAAACACTTAATTATTTTTTTAATTTCCACAGCAACCAAGCTTTTTATTGAGGCAAACATTGTTCAGTGGGATATGTTTCTTGTTCTAACTTTGCACTCCTGGATCATGACTTGCGAGTACTATTCCATGTTGGACAGGGTAGAGTATGCACTAGGGGTACCGTCTGCGAAAAACAGTTTGGGCGTGTCATGCGGGCGTCCAGTTTGGATAGTTTTATGGGTACATTTTGTGATACTGTAACAACATATGGTTAGAAGAGGACTCAACAAGGGAATCAAATGGCAAATTGTAGGAAGCAATCGTGCTGGGATGCCTATGAGACCGATTGCAAGGCAACACGGATTGGCACCGAGACAAGTGTCCAGGCTGGTAACAAAATGGCGCCAAACTCATCATGTTAGGGACATGCTACTTCCTGGTTGACGAAGCGTAACAGACGCAACAGATAGTAGACGTCTGGTTTGACTTTACAACCAGAACCGGTTCAATCAACTGAGAAACCTCTGGCTTGTAGGCAAAAAGCAGTCAACAGGCATCTTTTAGAAGCTGGACTTCCGTCTAGAAGACCCCGTTAATGACCTCCGTTGACCAACAGACGCAAACAGAGAATGGCATGGGCTAGATACCGAATAAGATGGAATCTCGGGACTCGGCGAAGGGTCCTGTGGACTGACAAGAGCAGATTCAATTTGGTGTATGCAGATGGTCGGTTAAGAATCTCAAGAGGTCCAAACCAAGCGTTTCAGGATGATTGTGTTCATCCACTTGTTCAGGGTGGCGGAGGATCCGTCATGATCTGGGCGGTTTCTCATATGATGAAAAAGTGCCACTGGGCGTCATTCAAGGGAGGTTCACTGATCAACGATACAGAGACTAAATCCTGTTAGGGCGCATACAGTCGCACATTCAGACAAATCCAGGAAGAAGCATCATGTTGGTGCAGGACAGTGAGCTCAGCCATAAAGCACTGGTTGTGCAAGACGCGCTGCAACAGCATGGTATTCCCAGTATGCATTGGCCTGCATATTCACTAGATCTCCAAGTAATAGCACATGCTTGGAATATGATTGGCAGAGCAGTAAATGAGAGACAACCTCCAGCGGGAAACTTAAGGGAGCACCAGCAGAAAGTGACCGAGGAATGGGACTGTCTCCCAACGGAAGATTTACAGATGGCAAGTTGCCAGAGACGATGTGAAGCTGTTGTTCAAAACCGGGGAAGGCACACCCGGTATTAACTGCATAATAAACGATTTTTCATCTGTTATCTACGATCTCTTTTTTTTTTCTTCATTTAAACCAATGCTAAGATGATTTAACTTTATTTTTCATGATAAGCTGGATAAATCACCACATACTTTTCGCCGTGTGAGCATATTTTGCCACATGGTCTGGTATATTTTGGTACCATTTTGTTAATTAAGTTATTTTGGTAATTACAAGAAGCTGTGTTGTACATTTCATCAACAGAAATATTCATCTTGAATACGATAATAATTAAATATGAAAGATATATACATAATCTCACTAAACGACAGAAATATTGATCATGATAGAAGAATCGTTTAAAAAAATATTGATGTTGCTTAATTTTTGAGCATCAGTGTATATTAGGGCGGGCCGTCACTGCCTGACCCCATTGTGCGCTCGATTCATTGTTAACGCGCTCGACACGTTAAAGGGGCCCGCACACGGTGAGCATCTGGCGCGCGCCACTTGCGCTGCGCCGTTTTCTCACCGTGTGCGGGGGTATTTTGGTGAGATTTTTGCCTCACGCGCGGCTGAGCAAAATTTCTCACGTGTTTGATTTTTTTGGTCTCTCGAGACAAATGTCTCACCGTGTGCGGGGTGCAAGCGCCGATTGCTCACGCCATGCAAACAATGCGCATGTGCTGGTAGCCGGAAACAGACAAAAATCGCTTATCATAGTTATGTTCTGATCATTAAAAGACACTAATTCCCGCAATGAGGTAAGACTTTATGAATCATTTAGTAATTTAAACAGTTAATAAGAACTTTATAAGCTGTAATTGTAACATATTTTAAGGATTATTTCTTAATTTGATTTTGTTCATTTCAGTTTCTACGTGACAATTTCAATGACAAGCAAATAAAATAGATGATGTGAAAAAGACTAATGTGTATACTCTCATGTCGAAGAAATAATAAGTGATAAGCCATGTGAAACGAAAAGAAAATTGGAGATATTATGCAACTTTTTTTAGGCCAGTCATGTATTAAAAGTATCAACACTGTCCCATGAGGTATGTACACTTGCATAAGCCTAGATCACATTTGCCACGGGTGCCGTGCAATGAAATCGTATACGATTATCCGTACGTTTTTCTGACATCGAAAGACAGGCCTACCCAACTACCAGACTCGGCACCTAAGGATCCTGAATTAACCGGTATATCGGACCACACTACCCGTTTTCAAGGTGTGTGTCAGGTCGCATTTCGGAGTATCAGTCAGAACACCGACAGGATAANCTGGTGGTACAATAATACTGTTAAGAATATAATAACTGAAAGACAATACTTATAAGAATACTAGTAAGATTGTCCTGTCAAACACACACACACACACACACACACTCACACACCCTCACCTAGCCCTCTCTCTGGTGTACCATCTGGCCTGGTACTATAGTATTCTATGGTGGGGCCTGGCTGGTTCACACCATATGACTGAAATTATATCACACAAAACATCTACATAATATCAAAGGGTTCACTTTGATTAATTTTACTGGAATTTTGGTACACAACAAATAACAGGCAACCAAATAACATTTTTATTTATAATGTTTAACTTACTGGATGATGCCTGGATATAAATATATACACGGTTATAAGAAAACCTGAGATATACTTACAGCTTTCCCTCCATTTGTACAGTTGCCATAGCACTGTCCTGTTAGCACTGTAATTATAATGGTAAAAAATATTTCAGTTAGTGGAATTTAAAAGACCAGATAAGGCAGATATCACGGAAAGACATGATAGGTTTCCTTAGTTTTTCAATATAATATTTAATTTTTTGTTTAATGTAGATAACAATATCAAATACATATTATGAATTTGACTTCTTATTGATAGAAATTACCCACAAAATTGAAAATTAAAGTAAAAAAGTATAAGAATATTTGTTTATGAGCAGTGTTATTGACACAGTTTACTTCTCAACAGAGTCACCCAACTGTGTTTATGCTGTTATATATGTATAAATTGGGCCTCTCTTAACATTAATATGATAAAAACAGGTATATGATACAACACACTATAATTTATCAAATCTTGACAGTGAAAGCTACTTTATTATTATAATGTATATACACATAATGTTCATTTCACAACAACTGCACCAAGTGAATCTGGTAAAAATCAAAAAAATGTGACAAGCAATGCAATATAATTATGGTGTACCATAGTAAATCAGTGTAAGACAATACACCAAATCTGGCTACAATTTTATAATTATAATATATAATAAAGTGGCCATCTTTAATAGTTAAATAATAATAATAACAATTAATATCTTACCCATAACTTTTATAAAGCAAGCATCTAAATCAAGGCCATTCTTCAATGCATAAAGCCTTACACCAGAGGTTGTCTGACTAGAAACAATTATATCCAAATGTCCCTGTGAAATAAAACAATGGCATAACATATGTGAACAAAATGTTCAACCATTTAGCTGAATGAAATCTTATACCAGAAGAGGATGAATGCATTGTTTTTTCAGATTCCTAATGATCTTAGTTTTCATTTCTTTTTCACTGATATATTAAGTGTTTATACCGAGTTCTCATTTTATAACTTATAAAAGTCCTATTAAACCATAAATCTTAGACCATTATTTTACTTTCCACTTTCACAGTCCACCATTATAAAACAATTTTATACTCTCTCTCTCTCTGCATGCATGTGTATTTCACAAACCTCCTGATATATATCAAAGAATGCAGCTACTAAAGGGCTGTTGACATCTCCTAGCCCAAGTGTCCACTGTACTTGAAATGTTCTCCCCAGTGCCTGGCACTCTTCTGATGTACACGGTATGTTATTGAGAAGAAACACTCTCGATTGCAATACCCTGGAAAGGCATTCAACTGTCTGACAAACAAGCCACAATAAAAACATAAAATAATATACCTTTTGATTAATATTAGGAACTGCTACATTTAACAAACTTCTAGTACATTTATATAAATTAAGAAGTAAAATAAAAGCAAATTATTCACTGAATCCAGCCATTTAAAATGGTTATGCTATACTCAATTTAAAAACTAAAATTAAAAATTATAAAATTTTCATTAATTTTATTGCACAGTTTTTAGCACCAAATCCCTAAATGACAACCGAAGCCTGCTCAAGCAATAGAAATCAAGATAAAAATCCAATAAAGCCCCTATTCAGATATGATCTGTACTTAAGAGCTTTAAATCAAATGCAGATATGAGACAGTGTTAAAAGTACATAGCAATGACAATCAAGTACCCACAGTTGCAGGGAATGGCTTTATAAAAGAGCTCACAAGGCACCTGCTTGATTCTAGTTTTAACCTAAATCATCAGACTCTGAGTTAAAAAAAAAAAAAACTCACTCAGATTCCCTCCCAGATGAGTAAAGAATTGCCAGAAGGTCTGGAAAACCATCATGGTCATAGTCACCTACTCTCAGTGACACAGGTAACTTGATGTTATTGTAAGAATTCTTGGTTGGTGGCTTAAAACCCCAGATCACTCCATTATTATCTTTGAAACTTACAGGCAACTTGATCCACTGAAGGATAAAAAAATGATGACTGAAGTTGAAATGTGGTTCACTTTTTCTTTTCAGGAAAAAAGGAGCATAATTATTGCAAACTGTAAACCTTAAGCTTACTTTCATACATACTCAGTGTTTTTTGCTTTTAAAAAAAGCTTTTAAAAATCAAGAACTAAAATTCTGAAAAAAATTTGTCATGCTACCTTTTCATCAGTTAATACAAAAATCTGGCTATTTCCACAATTTGAGTCTGAACATACAGGCACCAGATGTTCCATCTCTCCTCTGCCACCTGAAAGAAATTAAAATAATCATTACACCAAATGCTTATTTATTAACACTATCTTAGCATAGACACATCTGTAATATAAAGAGGAAGGGAATTTTGATCCAATTTGGAATATAACAGGAACGCTTAATTTGTCAACCACTATCAAATAGGCTGAATGCAGTGTGATTTAGAATTAAATATTTCCTTTCAAAATATCCTTGTAGATCTATATTTAATTAGAAACAAATGGAAATAGATCATTCTCGTAAAAGGTTCTAGCAAGTTTTAGGTCTACAAACCAATTCAGTCATTAAATCATTATAATCATAAATTCCAATATTTGTCTCAAACATAATAAAATTTTCTTACTAAATTAAA